TACCATGATCATAAAATAACCGGAATTTTCTCATAAAAAGAAAAGTACATGTTTATTCTTCAAAATTCAAGTTGTCCCCTTCAAAGTAGTCCCCGTCGGCTGCGATGCACTTGTGCCAGCGTTTGATCCACCCCTCAAAGCTTTTCTGGAAGTCGGTTTTTGGTATAGCCATTAGTGCCTCCAGCAATTTTAGCTTTATTGCCTCCACACTCAAAACGAGTTCCTCGTAGTGGTTTTTTGAGTCGATTGAATAGGAAGAAGTCACATGGTGCCAGATCAGGTGAATTGGGCGGTTGTTGAATGGTATTGGTGTTGTTTTTGACGAGAAACTCACGAATATATATATATATATATATGGATTTATTGAGTCGGCCTTTCGGCCTAGAGCCAAGGGACTTGGTTTACAGATCTTCCTTAAACACTCATCCATCCACTTCTATACCCTATTCTAATTCTAATTCTACATTAACCTATGCTATCTTGTCGTCTTTTTCTTTCTTTTCCTTCCTCAACTTCTTTCCTTCATCCACGCTATGGCCTCTCTTCTTCCTTCATCACTTAAAATATCCTCCACCTTCATCCTTCCGTTCAGCTCTATATGTATGTTTATGTGCTCCAAAGTTTCTTCCTCCACCTCGCATATCTGACACCTCTTTTCTCTCTTTCAATATCTGTTTCCTTCCTCTTCATTTCCGCATCTCCACCTTGCTATCCTACTTTGGCTTCCTTTTACCCCCTTCTCTTTCAGATATCTCAGCTTTCCTATTACTTGAATATCCTTATATCTTTTGTTATATCTGGTACTCCTTATTCTGCCATCCTCCCATTGTCCAAGTCTATCTTCCTCCCTTTTCATAATCACCTTCGCTGCATTCATTCCTCTCTCTCTCAGCTCTTTCACTCCTTCCGAGCTAAAACCGTTCCTTCTCAAAAATTCCTCTCTCTCTCTGCCTACTCCACCTTTTTCTCCTTCCCTTTCTTTTTCCTTTAAACATTCTAACACTAACACCCTTTTACCTTCTCTGATCGCTTTTTCTTTGAAACCTATCGCCCTACCCCCTGTTCCTGTACTAATTTTCCCAATACATGTTTCCTTATATACTATATAGTCCGGAGTGCAGGAGTCAAGCTTCAAGGACCACTTTATAAATTTTCTCTGTACTCTCTCTAGGTCCACCCATTCTCTACACCCCCATACTTCTGCTCCATATTCTATCACCCCTAACACCAAATATCTGAACAGCCACATTTTCCTTTCAAAATCATCCTTAAATTTCCTTTCACATATTCCCCAAGTTTTCCACATTACTATATTAGTCTTTTTCTTCAACTCCTTAATGTGTCCGTCATCCTCTCCATTCTTCTTCAGCGTGTACCCCAGGTATTTAAATTCCAACACCTCCTCTATACTTTTCCCTTCCCATTTCCATTCTCTTTTCTTTCTTCTACCCCCCCTTTTACAAAACACACTACCTTGGATTTCTCCGTGTTGAGCTGCAGTTTCTTCTTCTTCAGATATTTGCTCATTCTCATCATCATTTCTTTCATTCCTTTCTCGCTCTTTGCCAGTATCACTAAATCATCTGCGTACGCCAAGGACCAAATCCTGCCTTTTCCAATTTGGATACCTCCAATCCTTCCCCTTTCCATCTCCTCCTCGACGTCTGCGATCATTATCGAAAAGAGTACGGGACTCATCGGGCACCCCTGTCTGATCCCCTTCATCGTTGTAAACCTACTCGACAATATTCCCAGCACCCTGACTGTATTCCTCGTGTACGCATAGATCTCCTTTATCCTTTCAACTAGGCTCACACCTATTCCTTTTTCCTCCATCGCTTTCCACAATACCTCCCTATCTACCTTATCAAATGCAGCCTTCAAATCCATAAAGAATCCTAGTATCTTGCCTTTCTTCTTTCCTAATTCTCTCTTTATTAAATGTTGTAAAATGTAGATATTGTCCATCGTACTCCTTCCCNTNCTGAACCCCGCTTGTGTTTCCTGCAACACCTTCTTTCTCTCCATTTCTTCNACTAGTCTTGCTGTTAGTATCCCAGCGTATATTTTGTATGCTGTACTCGTCAAGGTTATTCCTCTATAGTTCTCTACTTCCCCTGTGTTACCTTTTTTATGTATTGGTATTATTACTCCTTCTCTCCACTCCTCCAGGAATCCTTCGCCTTTCCAAACTCTCCTTATTAACTCTTTTAGCTTTTCTCTTACTTGTCCTTTGCTATAAATCCATGCTTCATTCATTATCCCATCCACTCCTGCCGCTTTCCCTTTTTTCATCTTTCTTATTTGTCTTTCTATCTCTTCATCTTCTAGGTCTTCCTCCATATCCTCTTCTCCTCTATACATCTCTTCCTTCTCTTCATCTCTTACCTTAACTTCTTTACGTCTCTCTAATAGCTGTGAGAAGTGATTTTCCCACTCCTCCATCTGTATATCCTTATTTATGCGGTTTAATTTCTTTCTTTCTCTGTTGATTACTCCCCATATCTGCTTTTCTGTTTTTAAACTTTTTACTTCCTCTTCAAATTGCTTCAGCTTCACCGCTTCCTTCTCCCTACATAGCTCCCTAAAATTCTTCCTCAGAACTACATAATCTTCTCTTTCAATCCTGCCTTGCCTCCATATCCAGTATGCTTTTTTCACCTTTCTCTTCAAGCTTCTACACTCTCTGTCCCACCAGTCCTTCTCCCCTACTTTCCTCCTTCTTGCTCTGCCTCTCTTAATACTCCAGCATTCCTTTACCCCCTTCTTTAAATTTTCCCATAACTCCTCCACGCTTTCTCCTTCTATGTTCATTCCGTTGCATCCTTCCTTGTATCTCTTAATGCTCTCTTCATTGCACTATTTCCTTAAAAACTTCATTGGTCCTCGCTTCTTCCTTCTCCATTTTCCTTATCAATGTCACCTCCAACGGTTGGTGATCCGACTCCACTCTTGTTCCTACCTTCAAGAGAAACTCACGAATAATCAACGCATTATGAGATGGCGCATTATTGTCATGGAGAATCCACGAGTTGTTGCCCTACAAAGCAGGTCTTTTTTTGCGGATAGCTTCGCGTAACCGTTTCATAACTCCTAGGTAATATTTAATAAGGTAAATTAATTATTTAATAAGGTAATATTTAAGATTTCATCGACGTTTTCATCAGTTTTCGATGTCGATGGCCTCCCAGGACGAGCATCGTCCTCAACAGCCTCACGACCACTTTTAAAGCGTTCATACCACTGGTACACCTATGTTTTCGATAGAGTATCGTCACCATAACACTTTTGTAACATTTTTAATGTGTCGGAACACTTAATTTCATTTTTATAGCAAAATTTAATGCAAGAACGTTGTTCAAGTTTTGAATCCATTTTAAAAATCGCCGCGACGTAAAAACTTGATGTAAAGAAATCACTGTCATAAAGGTAAATGAACAGCTGATAAGCAGAAGCTTGGCATGGGTGTCCGTAACAGTGCTGCCAACGTGACACAAACAACAGAATTCTAAACCGATAAGCCCGCGAGGTTTAAATTAAAAATTCCGGTTATTTTTTGATCATGGTAGTATATAGAACACTTGGATGCGTTAGCATCCAGCGTTAGCGAATGTTCCAAGTATTTAATACAAGAAACAGAATTGTTACTCTCGAAAGCCTATATAAACGCAGACATTATCAAATTAACAATTAAAAGTAATTACAGCAATATCGAACATGCTGTACAGACGCAAATTAAAAATTTCTAGATACGTACTTTACCTTGGTATTTCTAGAAATGTGTACACTTTATTTGGATAATATTGTTCAAATTATTTTAGCAAAGCATTAGAAATAATGTCTTCTCTCTCGATTTGTATACAAAAATATATTTCAATGTGAATAAAAATTGAAATATGGTGTCTTTCTATAAAATATATATATTGTGTTTTATTTTCCCTGCACGAAACCCGTCCTATTCGCACGCACTTTATTGAAAAACGAAAACTTAGAACAAAATTTTTGCGGCATTCCCGCGCATAGAAAATAAATGAAAATTCTTTGATATAAGCTGTTTTTATATCACGCATTCTGCCGCTGCTGCAACGTGTTTTCTCGTACGTGTCTATCTCGAAAAATTTTGCGAGAAAGTTTCTCATAGTGCAATTTCAAAGTCAGAAATCAAAGGTCCATATATCGCAAGTCCTTCGGTTGTCTATTGCGAATCAGGGATGTAAATCTCCGTTTTTATGGAAACGGAGCTAATGTGTCTCATCCTGTTGACAAAAAATAGTGGAAACTATGTCTGAGTAACAGACGGTCAATGCCAATACGTGACATCTTAGGATCATTTTTTCATCTACGAAGAATTTATTTTAGGGTTGTAAAATCAATGTCAACTTTATGGAAAAGCAAAAACAGATTTTTTCTTACCGCTGGCACAAAAAATAATAAAAACTTTATAACATTTCCGAGTAACAGCCGGTTTGTCAGTTTGTGACATCCTAGCTCAACTCTCACTTTATAATTTTTGGGGGTGAAACAGCGTATAAAAGATCTGTTGCAAAGAGAACAAAACACAGTCTGAGTTCAGAGCAAGAATCAGTCAGTTCTCCAGTGAAAAATAAGCAGTGAGTATCAGAATTCTAAGTAAGTTTGTTTGTGTAAGCACTATTTTTGTGTAGTGTACAAATATATTTTTATTACAAAAATGTCGGCAAAAACAATGCAAGACATTGCAACGCATGTAATGCAATGTACATTTGACGTATTTATGTCAATGCATATGCGGAGTGTGTTGCTGCGTATACGAGAAAATGCAGGCAACATAGATTTGTTCTATCAAATCGCGCATCGGATATCTAATACGTTCCTCGCAACATTGCAGTCACGCGCTGGGATATTTTGATGAAGATTCACGATTATTGCACATCGCGAGCGAAGTAGTGGAATTTCGCGCGGCGCTCCAGCATGATGAACAAGATGTGCAAGGATTAATCGCACGAATGATGCGCGATAATATGGGTGAGTAAAAGTTTTATTTTTGTAAGAATATTATTTTTACATTTGTGAAACTGTTTTGATATACCGCATGTTTTATTTACTTTAGTGAACAATCGTAACGAGGTAATCGTAGCGCCGGCAAACGAAGAAGCTGCAGCGATGCCACCCCGTTTTGCTTCTTGTCAGCAGCAGCAAGTTGCGAGCGTATCGCCTCGTGTGGAACCTCGGGCGGTAGCCAGGGTGTTGTCAATGCAACGCCCTGCTTCTACGGCCCAACGTCGCCGACAAGAGGGGGCAGAAGAAGCAAATGAACCTCCGCTGCGTAAGTTTACAACCAATAAAACAAGAATTACTAACTTTTAGAATAAAAATATATCAACTAGTGATTTTCACATTTTAGGAAGAGCCCGTAGAGATAAAGCGGAGCTTTCTCCTCCTCCTCCTTCTCCTCTCGCCTCTAATTCCGGTAAGTAAACTATCTCTAAATAATTAAACAATGAGAAATATAAAGAAATTATATATAAACTGTTATATTGATTTTTTAGATGAAGACGTGCAAATACTGATGCACATACGGCCTGATGGAAATATCAACAATCAGCAGCAACAGGCCGAAGCGGAAGAGGAACGGGCGTACGAATTACGAAGAAGGCTGGTGGACGAAGAGCTTGCAGACATCTTTGAGCGGGAAACGATCCATTTGTCAGAGTTCAGTGAGGACAACGACAACAACGCCGTCGATGAGCGCGACGAAGACGCCGACGATGAGCGCGACGACGACGACGACGACGACACCGACGATGATAATGGCGATGATAATGCCGACAAAGACGCCGACGATGAGCGTGACGAAGACGCCGACAACGATGAAGATTCCATCGCGGAAGGTTAGAATAGATGTATATAATTGTATATAGGAGTATATAATTGTATATAAGTGGTATATAATTTGATGTAATAAAAAAAATAAAAGATCCAATGTTACTCATGTTACAATAAATATATACATATGTATATATAGCTGTTAATTCGATGTCGTAATTTCACCTTCTTCCCAATATAAACTTTAGAATAAAACTAAGAAATATAAAGTATAAAATAATAGTTACAATCCGTTACACTGTTGATAAAATAAAGATACAAACTAAATAAAGATAAAAAATTAGAAACAATAAAAATTATTGAGAAAAGATAAAACGTGCGATTAAATAATAAAAAGAAAAATTTGATCTTTTATTCTGTGTAACACCAATTAATATACTTAAAGTTTTAATATTGTTGTACTAAGCTATTTTTATTTACAGTACAATAAGGGGATGGAACTGTAAATGTTGCGCAGGAAAATAGTAGTGAACAGAACGGCACCAACAACGAGCGCAGCAACAGTGACGTCGACGACATCACCAACACCGCCGAGCGTTACACCGGCAGCAGCAGTGCTACTCCCGCCACCCCCGACAGTGCTGCCGATGACGAGAGAAGCGAACAGATTGGTGAAAATAATAATTATTCATTAATTCGCTCGTGAAATTGTCAAGAAATTGAGTTGAAAGGCCGATCCGAGCAGTAAAATACAAGTTGGTCGTGTATCACAAATAGTCTTTATTAATTTCACAGACGTTTTGGTCACTGGTTTGGACCTTCTTCTCAGTGTATACAAATGTGATCTAATAATAAATTAAAGAGTATAAGCGCAAAACGTAATGAAACAGAAAAAACCGTGATTACAAATGAAAAAAAATTTTTTCTAAGTAAAAAATGTAATACATACTTCAAAAAGATAACACGCGAGCAGACAGCATCTAAAACAGTCAAGCACAGGACACTGTGTACTGGCGCGCAATCTCAACATACAACAATATATACCGATTTCCCCACCATTATCTTATATACAAACATGTTCATATCAATAACACAGAGAGACAAATATCAATCTGAAAACATATTTAAACTAACGGATTATCTTTTAGATTTAAACAGATCTAAGAAAGAAAAATAAGGTTTAAGTTTGTCGGTATCAGATTTGACATTTATCGGATTGTCTTGTAACTGAATGTGGAGCATTTCTGAAATAGATCTCTTGTAAAAAAATATTTTTTAATCTAAAATTTTAACATCGTTTCAAATAAAATCGTAATTATTATTTAAACGATGTTCAGTAACAACCGATAAAATATTTGAATTTTTATTAATCTGATTCCTATGCTCCTTAATTCTAGTTTTTAACATTCTCTTCGTCTGTCCAACATAAGAAGCATTACAATTGTTACAATTAATTTGATACACCACATCTTTATTTTGATCATGATCTATTTTATCCTTACCAACCTTACCAACCTTTACAAATTCACTCAATTTGTTTAGACTTTGAAATGCCATCGAAGTTTCCTTAGATTTTTTGAACCACTTAGAAAATGACATAGACAAATCAGTCAAATAAGGCATAACATAATATTTAATATTAGTCTCACAATCATTGGACAGTGGGACAGTCTTATTAATACGTAAATTCAATTTGTCATTAATTAAGAACTTGATTCTATTTCTGATTGTCTTAAAGATAAAATGTAATGGATAGTTATTCTTGAGAAGAACTTCAATCATAAATTTAAAATTATCTTCATGGTAGCAAGGGTCAGATAATAAAAAAACTCTATCAACCATACTTATAATAGTACCGATTTTTTGTGATTTTGGATGGGAAGAATAAAAGTTCAAATATCTCTCTGAAAAAGTTGATTTGTGATACCAATCAAAACTTAATTTGCCATCAAAATTTAAAATCTTAACGTCTAGAAAACTTAAAAAATTGTTTTTTTGTACTTCTATTGTAAATTGTAATCTATTATGATAACTATTAAAAATGTCCAATAATAACTGTAAACTGTCATTAGGTGCAGTCAAAATGATATCGTCAACATATCTGAAGTAAAATAAAGGTTTGAAGTTCAATTTTTTTTAAACCGATTTCTCTAAATCCTGCATCGCAATATCAGCCACTATTGGAGATAATGGGAAATCCATTGGCATACCGAAGATTTGTCTATAAATTGTATTATCAAAAAATTTTTTTTTATTTGTAATCACGGTGTTTTCTTTTTCAATACGTTTTGCGCTTATACTCTTTAATTTCTTATTAGATCACATTTGTATACACTAAAGAAGGTCCAAACCAGTGACCGAAACGTCTGTGAAATTAATAAAGACTATTTGTGATACACGACTAACTTGTATTTTACTACTCGGATCGGCCTTTCAACTCAATTTCTTGACAATTTCACGAGCGAATTAATGATTAATCCACGCCGGCTGAAAATGAGGCGTTCTACAGCTATCCAAATTTTTTTGTTTTTCGATTTCATCACCATATATTGTGGAATTATCAGCGCGAACTTATTGAAAAATTGGATATCAATTAATTTTAAGATTATTAACGTTCGAACTTCTCCTTACAACGCCAACGGGCACAGGAGTTGATGGAGAGAGCGGGCGTCACAATTCCGGAGGAGGGCTGCGGTATGAGGGAAATTGAGCGATTTCATCGGTACCTTGCCGGCGAGGGAATAGCTATAATTGTTTACGCCTCGTCTTCTTTCGCAAACAGCGGAAAACCGTTGTACGACGGTGGTGCGTTGCTCGCCTCTTTCGGACGCGAATCCTTGCTACGTTTAAATATTCTTTATTGCGAGGGCTATTGTCCAAATTTAAATTTAAGAGCGGTGGCGGGGAGCAGGAGATACTGCATTCCTTGCAACCTGCCTTATCGCTCCGAACGCGAGGAGTTCATCGATGCTCGCATAAATGTCTGCGTTGTCGCGGTGTGCCGTCGTGCGAAACGGAAGAAGTTAAATTAATTCGATGCGAGCAATGTAAGAAAATGTTTTACGGGCTCGAGTGTCTCGAGCGTCACCGAGCCGAAAAATCGTACGGAGACGGTTGCGTGTGCAGCGCCTTGCAATTTTGTGACGATTGCGGCGTTTGTACAGAACGGGTGCGGAGCACAAATGCGGCGTCGTGTTTTGTAACATTTGCAGGTCGCGTCAAGATGTGAACCATCTTTGTTATATTCGACCTTCCGCACGCGAAAATTTCACTGGCAAAGAGAAAAACGCGCGCGTCGCATTCGTGTTCTACGATTTCGAGACCCGACAGGACGAGACGCTCAAAGGTACAACGTCTGTAAAAATTCACGTGCCTAGTCTTTGCGTCGCGCAACAGATTTGCGTCATGTGCGCAAATGAGGACATGACGGTACGTTGCCGGTGGTGCGGAGTGCGCGAATTCGTGTTCCGCGATGATCCGGTGAGGCGATTCGTCGATTTCGTTACGAGAACGACAAAATGTTTCAAGCAGATTATCTGCATCGCGCACAATGTCGAGGCGTTCGACGCGCAGTTGATCTTTCGTTACATCACGGAAAAACGTGTCGATTTGGATCCACGAGTGATATTAAACGGGATGAAGACCATTGTATTAACGGCCGGGCATACGAAATTTATTGACACCATCAACTATATGCCGATGCGTTTGTCACCTTTGCCGAAGGCTTTCGGTTTGCGGGGCGGGGTGGAAAAGCGATATTTTCCGCATTTATTTAACACTTACGCGAATCAGTCGTACGTCGGACCGATACCAGCCATTAAATATTACTCGCCGGATAGTATGTCTAGCGAAGAACGCAAACGTTTTTTGTCATGGCACGCGGAACAGACGCACGAAAACGCAGTTTTTGACTTTCATCGCGAGATAGAGCGTTATTGTCGTAACGACGGTGATATTTTGCGGCGAGCGTGCATGGCCTTCCGCAAGATATTTCTCGAGCGTGGAAACGTATGTCCGTTCGAAGAATGCACGACCATTGCTTTTACATGTATGCGAGTTTTTCGTAAAAACTTTTTAGTGAAGAAGAAATCGGCGTCATTCCTCGCGGCGGATATTACCTCGCAGATACGCAATCCCGCAAAACTCTGCAGTGGCTGGTGTGGAAGGAGCGCAAGCTCGGCCACACCATTGTTCACGCGGGTCACGGGCGAGAACATCGTATCGCGAAAGTCGGAGGCATTCCCGTCGACGAGTATTACGAGACGGCAAACGGTGAGCGTCACGTGTTGCAATACCACGGCTGCTTTTGGCACGGGTGTCCCGCGTGTTTTCAAACGGAACGCGAAGAACGTCTCTGCACGGGGGAACGCGAAGTGTACGACACGATGAATTCGCGATACGAGCGTACACTGACAACGTCATGGCGTCTTCGCAAACGGGGCTACATCGTGACAGAGAAATGGAAGTGCGCTTTTGATCGCGATATGCGGAAAAATCGCAAAATGCGAGCGTTTTTAGACCACCATCCATGCTTGCAGCTGAACCGCTCTCACCGCGTGACGCGTTTTTTGGCGGTCGAACGGGAAACATCGCGATTCGGCGCGAAGTTACGGGTACGGAGAAGATACGTTACGTAGACGTGTGTTCTCTATACCCTTACGTAACCTCTATAACCTAACCTAACCCTGACCTTACGTGTTGAAAACCGGCGCTTTCCCGATTGGACATCCGAAAATTCTCGTCGGAGAGAAAGAGTGCGCCTCGCTCATCGGGGCGATGCCCGATGTCGATTTTTCCGCGAGAGGCTTGTGCGTTGTAGAGTGCTCTTTCCGCGCAATCTCTTACACCCTGTACTCCCGTATCGTGTACAGGGCAAACTGCTGTTCGCTTTGTGCCGCAGTTGCTGCGAAAACTTCTCACAGACTCAGTGCTTGCACGAAAATACGCGCGATCGTAAATTCAAAGGCGTGTGGGTATCCTGTAAATTACGCATAGCTGTGGAGAAGGGTTATCTTGTAATTGCGGTGAGCGAGATATGGCAATACGAGACGATCCGATACGACGCTGATACGCGTCAGGGAGGATTATTTGCCGAATACATATACTGTTTTCTCAAATTGAAGCAAGAGGTGAGTGGATGGCCGAGCAAATGCGTGGACAAACAATCTAAGGAACGATATCTTCGAGAATACGAAGCAGTCGAGTGTATCGCTCTAGATAGAGCAAACATTGCGCAAAATCCGGGTTTACGCTTGGTCGCAAAGCTGCGCCTCAATTCGTTTTGAGGAAAATTCGAGCAACGATCGAATCTGACGAGTACTGAGGTGGTAAAGACGCAGGAACGTCTCGTATCGCTATTGTTGAGCCCCGAGCACGAGGTAACCGATATATTACCTGTGAATAACGTGGTAATATATGTTTCGTGGCGAATGCGGGACAAGGCGGTCGTACCCTCTTCGATTACCAACGTGATAATAGCGGCGTACACGACGGCATAGGCGCGATTGAAACTGTACAAATATTTAGAACGTTTAGGTGAGCGTGTTCTTTATTACGATACAGATTCGTGTATTTATGTAAGCAGCAAAAAACTCGGCGAATACGAACCGCGTACGGGGAAGTTCTTGGCCGATATGACGGACGAGCTCGAAGGCTACGGGTAGTTACATTGAGTCGTTTGTATCCGGTGGTCCAAAATTTTACGCGTACGTAATTCGTACTCCGGACGATGGCGCGCGAGAGATGAGGAAAATCAAAAAACCAACTCTCAATTCCGCAACCTCCCGCATAATTAATTTCAATAGCGTTAGAGAAATGTTAATACGAAGAGAGAGAAAAGAAGAAAATGAGTCGATAAATCTGCATTTTAGAGCGATTCGTCGTAGTTTGTTTCACGATGTTGTGATGCGGGATGAATAAAAAATTTGCTCGCCGGTTTTGCTGAAGCGTAGATTCATCGACGAGCGATACTCCGTTTCATACGGCTACTTGGAATAAGACTTTTTTCCGCGCATTCTCTTGTAAATAGTTTGTATATTGTAAACGTATTAGTAAGAGTTAAAAATTGTGTATATATGTTTTCCGTCCAAATGGGTCATAATGTAACCAAGCGCTTTGTACAATAAAAGAAAAATATGTAAGTTATTTTAACAATCGAGTGTAAAAATAAGGTTATAAAATGCAAGATTTTTTGTAAATGTTAGTAGATTAAGCAATATGTACACATTTTGTACAACGTAATATTTTAGTGTTATTAAATTTTTATTAAAAACAAACTTAAAAGATTGCTTTTTTCCGATGTTTGTTTTCTTTTATCCTTAGAAACTGCCTTTTTGATAGAACCTCAACAACGCTATAAGCTTATTGGCGCGCGCGTTTGACGAGCTTAATTTTGCGCGCGCGACAATAAGCTGATTTTTCATGAAAACAGCTTTTCAATTACCCGGAATAAGCTCATTGTCCGTTGCCGCGACGAAAATTAGCTCGTTGTCGCGGCAAAACGCGCTGAACCGCGGCCGCCGCGAAGTCTCCACGCGCGATGGTGAGCTCATCGTCGTCGCAAACCAAAAACAATTTAATTTAAGAGAATTACGAGCGGCAATTCGCACAGTCTTCGAAATAAACGTCCGCTAAAAACATCTCTGGACGTCCATCGTTTGCGGTCCTACGGGATGCGGGAAAACAATTTTTGTAAAGACTTTTCTCCGTTATTTGCCGGAAATGGCGACTGTTCAATTTGGGAGAATTTTATTTTATTACGGCGAGTGGCAAGAAGCCTATCTTCAATTACAACGCGAGATGACGGGAAAATGTAAAATCGAGTTTCGCGAAGGACTACCGCGCTCGGAAGATTATTCGAACGATCCGCTCTGTGCAAAATTAATAATAATCGACGATCTTATGCGAGAATCGTTGTCGTGCGAAGTGATCGTGGATTTGTTTACTAAAAATAGCCATCATAAAAATCTTAGCGTTATACTAATTTCACAGAATCTTTTTCATCAGGGACGCGGTCAACGCGATATTTCGCTGAATGCAACTTACATTGTGGTTTTCAAGAACCCGCGCGATCGCGCGCAAATTCGCCATCTCGCGCGTCAAGTCTATCCCGACGAGGCAAAGTTTTTGGAAGAGGCGTACTACGACGCCACTTCGCAACTACACGGCTATTTACTGCTCGATTTAAAACATTCGACACATGTCAAATATCGTTTTCGAACGTGTATCTTTCCCAACGATCCGCGTCATTACGTGTACATACCCCGCAGATCCCTTACGTAAAAACATGTGTATAAAAACCCAAAGCACACGAGCAAAGAGCATCATGTGAAGCTACAATTCCGTCGGCGACGAAAAAATAGCAGCGGAAGAAGCAACAAAGAGCGCATATTAGAGCTAAACGCTCTCTCGGTGAGAAAAACATCTGTCTACTGAAGGCTCTGTGTCTTGTAAATAAAAATCAGCGCGCTGCTTTTTTGCGAAACGCTGATAACAAATTCATTGCGTGTATTTGCGAGTGCGTTCAAAATACGCTCAAAGGTAACGTACCGCTCGAAAAAAAAGAAAAGAACTGCCTAATTCAATACAAAACGGCGCTGCGCCGTATCGCGGAACGAAGAGGTACTTGGAAATAGGAGAGAAAGCTGGTGGTGCAACAAAGAGGTTTTTTCCCGCACATCATCGGGCCCATACTCAAAGCTTTATTATTTCGAATTATCGAGTAATTATGGAACGGGCTAAAAAAATGATGCTAATTTTTACGGATAATCTCGACAGAATCCAACAACAAATGACGGAAAAAAATACGGGGACTACCGCTGCTAATACCACCCGCACTCCCAGAACCGTGCTCTCGCGTCTCGACGCGGAAAGAAGACGTATTCTTGATTCCCCTGTTGATGAAGGTGAAAAATGGAAATTGTACAGCAAAGTACGTCGTCGATATCTATATTTTATCCGAAAAGCGAGAAAGCGTTCCCGCAAAGAAGAAGATCCATCCGTGGCGGAAACAACTGCTGTGACTGGTGAAGAAAGGGAAGAGGAGGAGGACGTAGAAATGAGAGAACTCTTTCACGACGCGGAAGAACCAATGGACGCTTTGCCTCAAACATCCTCTGTTTTACCAAAACATTATTCAACACCCTTGCGACACAATAATAATAATAATCAATATCAACAGATTAATCAGTCAACTCCGAAGAAAAATGTATCGTTTGCAAATATTTCATGTAACAACAGCAGCGCACCGAGCTCTTGCAAACGAAAAACTATAACATAATAGAAACAATTCCAAAAACTTACCGCCCCAAAGCGCAAATGCTTTTGAATCATCTGATCGAAACGGCTGTTCCTGTCAAGATCACATGGAACAAACGCGGCGTCATGACTAAGAGTCCAGAATTGGTAAGAGCAAATATTGTGGAACTCGTAAACGATGCAATGCAAGAAAAAAAACCGCTGGAATAATGAGAGCCATTCATTTCGCTCATTTACTTCGCGACATAAACACGCTTCCTCAATACGTGGGAAATCTTAAATGTTTACGCTTCTTGCGAAAAGGAGAATAAAGAACAAAGCGCAAATCTCCGCATAGCATTGAACAAGCAGAAAAAGTCGAAGAGGAAGAAGAAGGATAGGATTACCGCGCCACCGACAAGAACAAGAAAAAGATACAAATCGGAAGTCCGAAACGGCTGCTCACTTGGGATAAAATGTAAACAAAACGCTTGCCAAGTTGTATTATAATCTCGCGCATTGCGCCGGTTACTCGTCGACGGAAAAGTTGTCGCAAGCCGCTAAACCGAATTACTCGCGCGAGGACGTTGTTCGCTGGCTTTGTTCGCAAGATGCTTACACGCTACATCGTCCCGTGCGGCGAAAATTTCCTCAACTACATTACAACGTAACGAATATCGACAATCTCTGGGAGGCTGATTTGATAGAATTGCGAAATTTGCGAAGTTATAACGACGGATATTGCTATCTACGGTAATTATGCAGTTATACGGACTATTTTCCGATCTCAACAATTTTGACATATGTTATCAAGGTCACCTCCCTGAATAATAATATGAAGGTTTTAGCCGTCGCTCATTGTTTATAAAAAACTTATGAACAAAAAAAGTTTCAT